TTGGCAACGACGTTGTAAAACAAGCCAAGTCACTTCGTGAACTCGGCAACCAGGTTACCCTTTTTTTTTTACCTCCGTTTTCTTTTTGGCGGTAACTATAATGGTGGTCGAGTACATCATGTTGTGCGGGGTCGAGAACCCTCACTCCGCGCAAGGGGGATGATCGCACCACGTTGTGTCAAAATGGTCAAGCACCCTCGAGGCAGTTACACAGTGCTTACAACCTCCTCTGGAAGTGAAAGCACCAGAAAACAAATTAAGTCATACGCAGCTGTCATCCGTACGCAAGGNCCCCCCCCCCCCCCCCCCCCCTCGCGAACCTCGACCCCGAGAGCGGCAGCGGTTGTCTCTTGACGGTCTCATTCGACGGTTTCAAGTACTCTCGTGCAAACCCCTCTGCCGCAACGGGTCGTCTGGCCGGCCCAGGAAGCTATTGGTTTCAGACGCTCGACGGGTTGTAAATCTTGGGGGGCGTTTTACCCCCCCTAGGTCCTTACTTCTCGTCTTGTTCCGCTTCCTTCTGGTATGAACTTCGTCTAGCTCTGAAGCCCCTTGTGGGAGCATCGTGCTTGCTTCTGCTGCTAAAAGTCGGTAAGTATATTCAATGCGATTTTGGCTCGTGCTTGGTTCCGTATGTCTTGCTCAACAAACAGTAAACGTAGCTCAGCATTGAACACGCGCACATACGTTGTATTTTTTTTGTATTCAACAAACGCAGCAATCACAATGTCTTTTCCATGATTGCTTGCTTGCGTACTACCGTGTTTCTTGTGCCTCGGGACTCACGTGAGTGTAGTTCATTCACGAGATCGGTCACCGAGTTATGGCGGGGAGCAAGGACATCAAGATGGGACCGCCGATTTTCATCCCGTCTCTGCAAGTGAGTACAACATTCGTACAAAACTCTGTACTGCAGATTTTTAAAACTTTATTGAAGATTTGCAATTTTTCTTCTAGGTTCGTTTGAGTTTCTCGCTGGGCTCTTCGAGTCGACAACACGTCAGCTGTGTAACCGCTGCTGTTCTAGGCTTGGGAAAACGTCACTTATGACAGCTGGCACCTGATTTTCACACCAAGACGTGCTTGCCTTTCATCTTGCATCACGCCTTGACGGCTATGGTCTGATGGATCCACTCCGGAAGTGCGCCCGCGTATGGTGTCATTTTTCAATGTAATGCTATTCTTCAAAGTTGAGCGTCGGGAAGGGGGGGTGCGTTCCCCCGGTTGTGTGGGAAAGAAAATTCTTGCACGTCACCGTAAAATCGAGGTATGACGAAACGCCATCACGCACTCTGTCGTCTTTTGGTTTCGGTAGAATGTTTGTTGCTGCTTCGGTGTGTGCTGTTTGCGTGGCGGCCGTCTGTAGTACCCGGGGGAGGGCGTAAACCACAGAAACAAGTATGCCCACTGGCGTCCACATATACCTGTGCCCCCACCCCCCCACGTGATATCGACAGGATATATGTTACAGGGACAATATTTTTTGAGCCGCCTTTGGCAAAGTAGGAAGAAACGATTCGCCATTGGTGATCGGTCCTGTGGGAACATAACTCCTTCCTCTCGATGACGCGTGGTCAATTGTCTAACCGCTACGCCACGCAAACCGTGAGTACCCCCCGCCCCCCCCGCTCCCCCACGCCTTCTTGCAGACTGGTTTGTTCGGTGCGATCACGCCTCTGCTATCCTTCCCGAAGAACCGCAAGGACTACTTCGACGTGGCATCGGCGGGGCCCTTGTTGGGCACTTTCGTGTCTCTAGCGGTGTTCATCGTCGGCATCATGATGACCGGGTCGGCAACTCCTGTAAGCGAAGAGCGAGAATGGCGCCGCTTTCTCTGGTGTCCCGTGTGTTTTTTATTTTTTGGCACGGCTCTTGTACTGTGTAGTTTGTTGTTGGTACGGCTATTTGGCGTTAAGGGAGTGTCATTCTTGTTTGTTGTTGCTGTTGATGTTGCTGTTGTTGCTGACGTTGATATTGTTGTTGTTGATGTTGTTATTGACATCGATGTTGATGTTAATGATGTTGATGTTGCTGTTGTCGTTTTTGACGTTCATGTGTTGTTGATGTTGATGTTAATGTTGTTGATGGTGTTGTTGTTGTTGGTGGTGTTGTTATTGTTCTTTACTCTCTCTCGGGCTAGAGCAGGGCGTTAATGACGCCGCCCTTAATCGAGCGACGCACATAAACCAACTTTTCGAAACACTTTCGTCGCCACGTCCCGCCTCCCCCACCCCCTTTGCTGTTTATTGGATGCGACGTTATGTGCTATGTTCTTGATCCTGTCCGTTACTTTTTTTTGGTGCTGATGTGAGCAGGAGGCGCTGGAGATGTTCCCGCTCGTTCCTGCGGGTCTGTTCCACAGCTCTCTTCTCGTGGGGATCATGACCTCCATAGGTCTGCCGAACGTCATGGGGCTGGCGGTCGCATCGACTGTTCCAAGTGAGGGTGGTGGGAGGTGAAGGGGGTTGGGAGGTCAGGCAGAGGGAGAGGCATGGCGGTTGGCGACGAGATCGGGGGGAGGGGGGGGGGGGGGGG